TTTTTTTTTTTTTGTAATAAATTTAAATAAAATGTGTTACTTAAATATCTAAATAACTAGTACAACACTCGTGTATTACACGGGTGCTTGTTAAAAAATTGTTCTTAAATTTTAAAATTAATGAAAAAATTATATTAAATTTAGTTTACTTTTTTACAAAAAAAATATATATTACTATATATTTTAGAATGATATGTGTTACTTATGACTTACATGTTATATTATATTAGTTTTTATAACTTATATCATATAACTACTTGAAATATAAATATATTAGTTGATAAATAATTTTATTTTCTAATTAATATTAAAAATAATTTTATTATTGTTATAAAGATAAATATAAAATTTTTTTATACATACAATATGGATGTTAAATCGTAAAAGAAGATTAATTTAATATATTACATATGTAAAACTGATAAATAATACAAAAGTTATTAACTTTTAAAATATATATACAATTCAATAATTATAATAAGAAATGATATTAAAATGCAATTAATACATGTAACATGACCATAAATAACAATATATTTATGGTAATCCGAACTTAATTATTTTTGGTTTGGAATTTTTTTAAAATTTATCCAAGCCTAATAATGAAGCATGTAATTTTGCCACATAGGATTCCGAAGCACCATAAGCAGCCACGTAGGCTCAGCGCGTTCTGGATTAATATATAGAGGGATTTATGGATTCAAATGTTTAAACTAAGTAATAAACAATTTATAAATCTTTATTTTGTTTAAAGTAATTTTAAATGCAACAAAATTTATTTAGAAACTATATGGTTCCTACCAGTCCAATCGACTATTATTGACAAATTTAATAACAAATATTTTTTCAAGTGAAGTAGACTGTTTAAAAATCGAGATCCTCCGTCAAATTTAAAAACAATGGGTAATCATGATTGTAATATTATTTTTCCGTCCAGCCACACACTAATTTATATCAAAGTCCACCGCTTCATTTGCATTTCATTTCAACGTCATTTCAATTTATTTTACAAACACGCGTTTGTAGCAAAGTATATAGAGGAACTCCTCTCTCGCTCTCTCTCTCTCTCTCTCTGGAACATTCGTCTCTGTTGCACTTTTCAAACACACTACTCAGAAAAGCACCAGCAAAGGTGAGCAAAATCTGAAAATTTTACTGTTTTTTTCGAGTAGATCGTCTCTACCTCAGTAAGTATTGCTTTGATTTGTGGATCTGTGTTTCCTTATGCGTGTATGATTGTTTTGATTGCATGTTTCAGTCGTTTGTAATGGTTGTTTTAAAAGAAATGTGAGCTATCGCTAATTAAGCTTGTTTCTAGAATAATCTTCGTCGATAATCTGGTTTGATGGGCTAAATCCTCTCCGATCTGTGTGGAACTGAGGCTTGGCATGAATCATTTGTGGTGTATTTGGATTTAAAGTTTTGAATCGATCTTATCATGTATGTTGATAGCTGGGTTTGAAGATTTTTGGGTGAGACAGTACTTTTCAGCTCTAGCTGGTAATATATTTTTGAAATTGGTCCATTGAAGCTCGAAATTGTTGTATAATTTTGCCTGTTCTTGGAGCTTCAGCTAACAAAAGTACTGATCTTGATGCATATTTTTAATTGATTCATATGGGCTTTTAGCATGTCAATAGCCTTCTGTTATTATTCTACATGTGTTTGTTTCGGTTGGTCGTCTTTGTTCTGTATTGCTTCAGTTTGCAACTTCACATATTCTTGTACAGTCAAAGTAAATATACTCCGTCAAAAGCAAACAACAAGTCCAAGGTGACAAAATAGAAAAAAAAAAAGAAAATCTGACCTAGTGTTGAACTGGTGTTTGTGCCTGTCAAAGCCTGCTTTGTATCATGCATTGAATTCTTTAAAGCAAAGGCTATTACCATTTTTATCCTCATGATATGTGGAAATAGCAGATAATGGGTGTAGTTCGCCATCGGTGATTATATATGGTGAACCGTGTCGTTACTGGGACTCCTTTAGTTTTCCGAGTCATTTTAATCTGTTTATGTTTCTATCACTTATTTTTCTCTAATAGATTAACCTGATAAGTTTCACTCTTGCTGCTCTTTGTGCTGCACAGCATAACATAAAATGGCCGATGGAGAGGATATCCAACCCCTTGTTGTTGACAATGGTACTGGGATGGTTAAGGTGAGCCTTCAGTTTAATTGCGTGTTTTGTTTATCGGTGTCTTGTTTCATATGAGGCAACTATAAAAATGACAAAGCTGCTTGAATTTTACTCTTTTTTACATGTTGCAGGCTGGCTTTGCTGGTGATGATGCCCCAAGGGCAGTTTTCCCAAGCATTGTTGGACGACCCCGGCATACGGGTGTTATGGTTGGAATGGGGCAAAAGGATGCTTATGTAGGTGATGAGGCTCAATCAAAAAGAGGTATTCTGACTCTAAAGTACCCGATTGAGCATGGGATAGTCAGCAACTGGGATGACATGGAGAAAATCTGGCACCACACTTTCTACAATGAGCTCCGTGTGGCTCCTGAGGAGCATCCTGTTCTGCTTACAGAGGCACCTCTCAACCCAAAGGCTAACAGGGAGAAAATGACTCAGATCATGTTTGAAACTTTCAATGTTCCGGCAATGTATGTTGCCATACAGGCTGTCCTATCACTGTATGCCAGTGGGCGTACAACTGGTATGTGTTGAATTTTGAACAAATGTCTCTATCTCAAGCTAGCTTTACAAGTTCATCTATTTCTTGGTTGTATCCGTCTCATATTTTGGACACGACGGTGGTCAAAGTTGGGGAACTGATGGCATCATCTGATAATTTTATCATTGCAACATATTAACAAAGAATCCTGAATTTCTGTCTTAACTTTTACATCTGCACCCCTGAAGTTTTCTAAGCACATTGAGCCAAGCAACAGGTGGGGCACGTATAACGTATTCATATTTTGCAAAGTTGAGGAGTGTGATTCTAAAATACGTTTTACATTAAACTGTTAATATAACTAACGGTTGGGGAACAAAATGTAAGTGGAATCAGACCTCAAGAGTTACTACTTATAATGTTCAAAGTTAACTTGGTATTTTCTTGGAGACCTCAGAGGTTTCTATGTAACTTCATTATAAATCGTTTATTAGGTTTTCTTTGTGAACAGGTATCGTGCTCGATTCTGGTGATGGGGTGAGCCACACTGTCCCTATTTATGAGGGTTACGCACTCCCACATGCCATCTTGCGTCTGGACCTCGCTGGCCGTGATCTCACTGATTATCTCATGAAGATCCTGACCGAAAGAGGTTACATGTTCACGACAAGTGCCGAACGGGAAATTGTACGTGACGTGAAGGAGAAACTTGCATATGTTGCCATTGATTTCGATCAGGAAGTCGAGACTGCTAAGAACAGCTCGGCTGTGGAGAAAAACTATGAGCTTCCTGATGGACAGATCATTACCATAGGCGCTGAGAGGTTCCGCTGTCCAGAAGTGTTGTTCCAGCCATCGCTGGTCGGGATGGAAGCTGCGGGAATTCACGAGACCACTTATAATTCCATTATGAAGTGTGATGTGGATATAAGGAAGGATCTTTATGGAAATATTGTGCTCAGTGGCGGGTCCACCATGTTCCCCGGGATTGCAGATCGTATGAGCAAGGAGATTACTGCTCTTGCTCCCAGCAGTATGAAGATTAAGGTGGTGGCTCCACCTGAGAGAAAGTACAGTGTCTGGATCGGAGGATCTATCCTAGCTTCTCTCAGTACTTTCCAGCAGGTAAATGTCGTTCCTTCTTTTTTTTTTTTTGGTGAGTTTCTCTAAGCTTCCATTGAAATTGTTGATAATTTCACTTCCATTTTCAACAAGAAATAATCTTATGATTGGCCAAACCAAGAATTCAGTTTAAATTTCCTTTTATGTTATAGGGGACTTGAATCTTACTTTGCTTTGTGTGTATATTTTAGTGCATGTTGAACAATTCGCAATATGATGCCTCGGTTTTATATATTTTATTATTGTGCAGATGTGGATCGCAAAGGGAGAGTATGATGAATCTGGTCCAGCAATTGTTCACAGGAAGTGCTTCTGAAGCTGGTGAGTCGTGTGGGGTTATTTTTTCTGCCTTTTCTGGTTTCGTTCAATTTGACAAGTGATCGTTTAAGCACATGAAATCAGATAGAAGGTTTGAAGAACCTTTCCCAGATAATTTATTGTTTTTTAAAATCCGAGATTGCGAACAAATGGATGTATAGTGGGAGTTTTTTTTTGTGTGTGATGTGTGGTTGAAGGACAGCAGTTCTTGTTTCCGGCTTGAATGTGTGGTTTTTGAATTGGATTCTTGAATTGGTTTTGTGAGGAGTTTGGTTGGTGCATAAACGTTAATATTTGCTTCTTTCAATTATTTTTATATTGATTTTGTTCTTGGTTGTAAGAACACCTCAGTGCCATAGAAGTTCTGATTAAATCACAACCTTTAATTTTGCCAATAAGAAACAAGAGATTTTGATTTTTTTACAATCGTAGCAAACAGTCAAAAGAATTTGGCATTTTATATTTCGATTTTGCTATGGAGTTATTGGATGGCACCGCTCATGGAGCCATCTATGGTTATTCACAAATGGTGTATTGAAGATGACGTTGGAACGAAGATGGTATTATTCGAATAGAGGATTGTTATTTTACTTCCATTGTTGATACAATAGGTGAAAAGAATACTTATTTTCAACAACTGTAATCAATATTTAGTGAGACTGTTTGTGGTTGATGAAATCCTCTGGAGACTGAAAATTAAATTTAAATCTAATAAATGAAATAGAACTGCAAAAAATAAAATAAAATAAAATAAAAGATAGCACTAAAATGTTAAGGAAAAAGCATACATAAATAAAACCTAGGAGAGTAGAAACATGGGGTTGACCCAACAATTATGTATATTTGTTGAGTGTTTGTATTGATTTTTCCTGAATTTTTTGTATATTTTTTTTGTAATAAAGAGAAGGACGAGGGAGATGATGAAGATGACGAGAGCGAAAAGAGAGAGAGAATTTGTTGCAAAGGCACATGTACCATTATTCTAGTCTCATTGTCTGAGGAATAATTACCTATAACTAGAAAATTTGTTGCAAAGACACATGTATTATTAGTAATGTTTTCTTATTCACGGTGAACACATGTTAATATGTCTACTGATTATGTAGCATGTACACATTGGTGATGTATATTTTTTTTAATATATTAACATCACCAATGTGTGCATGCCACATAAGCTGTGGGCATATTAACATGTGTCCACCGTGTGTAAGGGATCATTATCTCATGTACCATTATCCTAGTCTCATTGTCTGAGGAATAATTACCTTTAACTAAAATAACGTAAAATAAATAAATAGTGAGCTCTAAATAATTAAAACCAGATTGGGCCTTTACCATCTTGGTCCAGCAAGCTTGTCAACCTCGGTTCTCTGGCCCGTCATCCTGTACGCCACGGCCCAACTCCATAATCAGGTACACGATCGACTAAACTCCATAATCGACTACATGATAGCTCACCTCTCGGCTCAACTCTATAATCGGGGTACATGATAGTCTACCTCCCGACCCAACTCCATATATCAGGTACAATTACAATACTCCTTCTCGAAAGAGCCTCGTCCTTGAAACTCATTTGTCGAAAATGTAAGCACTGCATCCAAAAAAATCCGCATCTGTATCGCGCATGAGAAGACTTGTACACTATCCAATTGTCCACTCAAATGAATGATTAAAATCTCAAAACCCATTGTGACTGGGCCCAGTCCAAATGCCATGAAATGAAGCACCACCACCAAATGACCCAGTCATATGCAGATGTTGGCCCATAAATTATCTCACTTTAGGCTCATTTACATAACAACATAACTTATGAGGAAATTGCACCCCATACTTCCTCTTCCTTAAAATATTATAAATTTACCACCATTAGTCAAATATTTATTTAATCACCAAAAAAACCATAAAATATTATAAATTTACCTAAAATGTGTGATGTTGCAGTTATATCAGATAATTAAGGAACATTAAACCGCTCCACACGTTTCATATTCTCACGCGATCCTCGGGAAATCAAAATCTCTTGCAGAAGAAAAAAAAAAACTTCGCCCGTCAATGGCGAAAACCAAAATTGCCCAAGATCCTCGGAAAAAAACGGCGAACGAAAGCGAAGAATCACTCGCGATCCTCGAAAAAACCGGCGAAAGAAGGAGATGAAACACCACGCCCGGCTTCTCCACCAAGTACGTCCCCTTCAACACCGTCCTCCACTGAGTCCTACTCCCTCGACGAGATCGTCCATCGAGCCGTTCCCGCGGTAGTCATCTACATGTAGGCGATGCGAGAATCGGTTTATATGGAGTCCTACTCCCTCCACCGACGATGGCGTTCTCTAAAGAGGGTTTCGGGGTCGCCACAATTGGGGGGAGATGATTGTTGGTTGCAGGGAATTTGAATTTTGCTTTGATTTTTTTAGGGTTTTGGATTGTGTGTAGATTAGTCATTACGTTGAAATTCGTAGACACTGGATTGGAGTACATGTACAGTATATGTTTGGTATATGCGATACCTTTTTTGTTGTCGTTTTTTTATGTTACGTCTGGTATATGCGATACCTTTTTGTTGTTTTTTTTATTATCCAATGGTTTATTTCTACTATATGTTTGGTATATGCGATACCTTTTTGTTATTTTTTTTTATTATCCAATGGTTTATTTCTACTATATGTTTGGTATATGAGATACCTTTTTGTTGTATTTTTTTTATGTTACGTTTGGTAGCTTTGTTTTAGTCATTTCTATCTTAAACCAAACAATATATTGTTGAACATAAAGATAAAATATATTGAACATAAACAAAAAATATACTTATACTACACATATAAAAATAAATTGTTGAACATAAACTAAACATATTAAAACTATGCAATTTATTTCTATGAACAAATACCAAAATATACTGCACATATACATTCTCTGTGACGTGAAATATACTCCAAAATCGTGAGTGATTAGTGAAATATACATACTGAACATAAACCAAACAATATATTGTTGAACATAAACCCCAAATAAACTGAACATAAAGATAAAATATACTGAACACAAACCAAAAATATACCTGTACTGCACACATACAACTAAACTGCTGAACATAAACCAAAAATATTAAAAACTACATAATTTATTTCTATGAACAAATTATACTGCACATATACTCCCTGAACGTCTTTCACCTTTTAATAAAACGTGAAAGATATATTGTTAATAAAAACGTGAAAGATATATTGTTAATAAAACATGAAAGATATCTTTTAAAACTAGAAATATATTGTTAATAAACTAAAATAAACTAGAAATATTTATGATTGTCCTGTCTTTTTTTTTCTTTATATAATTTCACGACCTCGTTTTTTTCCGGTAAATTTTACTTATATTTCCAGTATATTTCTGGTAAAATATAACATCCTCAATTATTCGAACACCAGCCTTCGAACACATCCCGCGAGCGGAAAAACCAAGCCATTCGTAGTTCGTCCGATCTCAGTCCACAATCAAGTCCTGTTTCCGGCAACGGTTTGCACGCTAGACCATTTCCCGACGAGTTTTGACCTTTTCGACACCCAATCGCAACGCGATCCTCAACTCCAGTCGATCTGCAAACCTCGACAGCCGGCGACCTCACCTTCGAGCTCTATTCGGCGACCTTCGACGGGCCCCGACCTCTAATGGGCTGCGACCTTCGCAAGCCGACCGCTGCCCACCCCGTTGCCAGATGCCCTACGCGGGTGCGAGAAGAAGAAAATTGAAATATCAGATTTGATTGTTGTGATAAACTCCTTTTTTTTTTAAAGAAATCTGCCGCAAATCACGCGAGTGACAAAATCCATATTTAAAACCTGAGATTGTAACCCCTAGAATTATGGAATCTGTTGATCTCACACGTAACGGTTTTTTAGGCATGTGTATAATTACTTTTTATCTTTTAGGTATATACACAAAATTTATTGTTTCAATGGTGATGTTGAATACTATTATTCATATATATTTTTTTTTTTTTTTTTTTATATGGGATAGCAAAGAAAATCTACTTAAACATCAGTAGTTGAAATGCCTCTAAAGAACGAAAAAGAGGAGTAAGAAAAAAGGGAAAAAGGAATGAGATCATAATAAGATTCTATTCTCAAGGGGATATGGCGAAATAGGTAGACGCTACCGACCCTGCCCTGTTTCCGACCATTCCGCAGTCGGTCGACCTCGTCGGCCTCTGAAGTTTGCAATTACTTTAAATTCGGTAAGTAGAGATAAAAATTTCCCTAAGTTTTAAGCCAAGCTACCTCTCTACTGGATTAATTTTCTTAGGCCAGCCAAGCCTAAGAAAAATAAAATAAATTTGTTTTATATGATGAGGCTGATTAAATCAAGTTAATTAATTTTCAAATTTCGTTAAGCTCCATCACATTCAAAAGTTTTATTTTATTTATCAATTTCCAATAATCTTAAACAAATACTGAATTTATTTAATGAATAATTGTAGATGACTACATAAATTGTATTATCACACGACGTCAAAACATATCAATGCACACTTAGAAACACTCGTGAATTTATTTAATGTAGATAACTACATAAATTATGCTATCACACTACGATCAAAACATATCAATGCACACTTAGAGCATCTCCAAGAGACTTCTTATTTTAGACTTCTTATTTGGAGAAATAAGGAGTCATCCTATATCCATTTGCTTCCTAA